TCCAGAACGCTATACACTGTGCCATCTAGCTGCCAAGGGAGTCTGCGTACTTTAGCCAAGGTAGATTAGTCATTCTCTTGGTGTAAGGGAGGGTCAAGTAAAGATTTTGTTAGCTTTCTGAGCAAACAGTGGCCATCCAGTCTCAGTGACAAGATCTGACATGCTTCCCCCCAAGAACATAGTGATAAGGGGTCATCCAGCCTCAGCTCGAAGCCCTCCTTCAAGGGAGAGTCCCCCACCTCTTCCAGGAGGAAGGGTCCCAATGTTCAAATCCTTTTTTCTTCTGGACAGGAAGCCTCAATTCAGTCATCTGTTTCTTTTCCCTCTTTGTCTCTCCTGTATCTCTATTCTGAGGTTAAACAAAAGGAGCTTTTAAAGTCTGCTTGCTCTGAAGGAAGCTGACTGAAAAGAATAGCAGACCCCATATTGATTTAGCCCCAGAAGTGCGTTAGCCCAAGGCAATCTCGGAAAAGCCTAGTACTGCTCCACTGAAAAAGCAACAGATGACATCACCAGCAGGTGGCAGCATTTGCTCAACCTAGAAAGAGTCGATGTATCTATCCGGAGGAGATGTGTAGAGGGAAAGGAGAAGAGCAGGGACCAGGGAAGCTTAAGGAGCGGCCAGGGGCTTTACAATCCATAAAGCTCCTGAAAGCCCGTGCCCTGAAAAGCATTCCAGTCACCACACTTCTACAGTTTGCACTGTGCATTGCCCCCAGTCACATTCCCTTCCCCACCGGGAGGGGTCTGTGGCATAGTAGAACCGTTTTGTAAGTGGAGGCTGGAAATGATTCTTTTGTCACGTGGTTGCTCTGTGACCCTATCTGGGGATTTCTTAGCAGAGATACTGAAGTGGTTTGCCACTTCCTTCCCCAGCTAATTTTACAGATGAGGAAACTGGGGCAAACAGGGTGAAGTGACTTGCCCAAGGTCACACAGCTAATAAATGTCCGAGGCTGCATTTGAATTCATGAAGATAAGTCTTCCTGACTTCAGGCATGACACTGTATCCACTGCACCACTTAACTGACTTGCATTATAATAGAGATTAATTATTCTAGGCCTTCATATTGCACCTGTTTATTGAATTTGTTGTTCTACGTTAATTAAATTGTTTTCTATTTGACAAACGCTTCCTTCCTCATGAGACAATAAAAAGTATAGTGTAGAGTGACTCCAGCATCTTTTCACAATGATGATGATTAAACATACTTCACTTTCAACCCAGGCCACCAAGTGGTCCCAGAGTTGAGGGGGTCCCATATTTCAGCATGATAACAAAAGATTAGATCAACTTAGTACAGTAAGCAATTAATTTGGTCAGAAAAAAAAAAACAATGAAACAATAGTCAATTCAGTGATTAAGAAAAATAACAATAGCAGTGGATACACCAAATGACAAGCCAACATGTGACAACATCCTCCTAACTACCTGGACCTCTCTGCTTACTAACACCTGTTCCACTTTCAATGGCAATCAAATACATTTGTGCACCATGCCTTCTACATGAGGGAATCCTTGGTCCATCATCAGTTACTCCTCTATCTGGGGCCCTTCATCACTGTATATTTGTATAGATTTTTAAGTATACAGATCAGATGCAAAGAAGCAATACATACATACATAATCAAGATAATCAAAGGTGACCCTTTGATCAGCTGGACAAGGGTATCTCCCATTGAACTGATCTGTATATAAAAAGAGATCAACAGAGAGAAGAGAGAGACAGACAGGGAGAGATAGAGAGATAGAGATAAAGAGAGAGACAAAGACAGAGAGACAGAGATAGAAAGAGAAGCCGAAAGAGGAAGACAAAGAGCCAGAGACAGAGAAGGAATCAAACAGAGAGACAGAGAGGCAGAGACAAACTGAGAAACCCAAGGACAATGACAAGAGGAACAAGATGGGATCCCCTGTGATAAGGCACCAAGTCTGGGACACAAAGAACATGAAACTTGCCCCTGTAACTGGAGAGTGAGTACTGGCAGAGGTAACCATGGCAAAGTACTGGGAGAGGGCTGCTCCCTTATTCTGAATCTACTGACAAGAGCAAACTATTAGATCATGTTATGAGAGCCCTCTGTCTTTTAATTCAGATGCAAATGCCACAGGCTACTTGGCTCCTGCCACCACTGCCATTGTTTTCATCCTTCTGAAGCCCTGCAGATAAAGGCCTTCTTATTATATTGCTCAAAGCACATCCTTGTACCCCATAGTCACCTTATTGTATATCATATGATATGGATTCCTTTCATTTACAGACTGGACTCGATGCCCACTGAGTTCCCTTCAAACTCTTAAATTTTGCATTCTCATTTCTATTTTTATTATTTATTATTACTTTAATTTTTAGTTTTCAACATTCACTTCCACAAGATTTTAAGTTCCAAATTTTCTTACCATCTCATCCCTCCCCCACCCCAAAATGGCATTCATTCTGAATACCCCTAATCTGCCCTCCCTTCTCTCTCTCCCCCCTTCTTTTTATCCCCTTCCCCTTCAATTTTCATGTGTGGCAGGATAGATTTCTATACCTCATTTCCTGGATACCTTATTTCCCAGTTGCATGTGAAAACAATTTTTTTAAACTTTTGTTTTTAAAATTTTGGGTTCCAAATTTTCTTCCTTCCTCCCTCCCCACCCAGCCTCAGTGAGAAAGCAAGCAACTCAATACAGGTTATACATGTGTAGTCATGCAAAACACTTCCACAGTAGCCATTTTGTGAAAAACTAAGTATATTTCCCTTACTCCTATCCCACCCCCAATTTATTCTATTCTTTCTTTTGACTCTGTCCCTCTTTAGAAGTGTTTGCTTCTGATTACCCTCAGTCTCCCCTCCCCTCCATCATCCTTCTGCTCTCTTGTTCTCTTCCACCCCTATTTTCTGTAGAGTAAGATAGATTTCCATAACCAATTGAGTGTGTATGTTATTTGTTCCTTAATCAAAATCCAATGAGAATAAGATTCACTCATTCCCTCTCACGTTCCCACAATTTCCCCTCCACTGTAAAAGCGTTTTCTTGCCTATTTCATGTGAGATAATTTACCCCATTCTAACTCTCCCTTTCTCCTCTCTGTATGATCCTCTCTCACTCAAATTTTGTTGTATTCTACAGATATCATCCCTTCATCTTCAACTCACCCTGTGCACTCTATCTATTTGTCTATCTATCTATTGATCTATACAGACATATAATTTTTACCTCCAACTACTCTAATACTGACAAAGGACTCATGAGCTTCAAATATTGTGTTTCCATTCATAATGTAAACAGTTCAACCTTAATACATATCTTATGATTTCTCTTTCTTGTTTACATTTTCACGTTTCTCTTGAGTCTTGTATCTAAAAGTTAAATTTCCTATTCAGCTCTGGTCTTTTCATCAAAAATGCTTGAAAGTCCTCTATTTCACTGAATATCCATTTTTTCCCCTGAAAGATTATGCTCAGTTTTTGTGGGTAGGTGATTCTTGGTGGTAATCCTATCTCCTTTGCCCTCCAGAATATTATATTCCAAGCCCTGCAGTTCCTTAATATAGAAGCTGCTAAATCTTGTGTTATCCTAATTGTGTTTCCACAATATTTGAATTGTTTCTTCCTGACTGCTTGCAATATTTTCTCCTTGACCTGAGAACTCTGGAATTTGGCTACATTATTCCTCAGTGTTTTCCTTTGGGGATCTATTTCAGGAGGTGATCAGTGGATTCTTTCCATTTCTATTTTACCCTCTAGGTCTAAAGTATCAGGGCAGTTTTCCTTGATAATTTCTTGAAAGATGAGGTCTAGGCTCTTTTTTTGATCATGGCTTTCAGATAGTCCAATAATTTTTAAATTCTGTCTCCTGGATGTATTTTCCAGGTCAGTTCTTTTTTCAATGAGATATTTCACATTGTTTTCTATTTTTTCATTCTTTTGGTTAAGTTTTACAATGTCTTGATTTCTCATAAAGTCACTAGCTTCCAGTTACTCCATTCCAATTTTTAAGGAAGTATTTTCTTCAGTAAGCTTTTGGACGTCCTTTTCCATTTGGCCAATTATGCTTCTGAAGGAATTCTCCTCATTCATTGGCTTTTTGGACCTCCTTTGTCATTTCGATTAGGCTATTTTTTAAGATGTTTTTTTCTTCAGTATTTTTTTGGTCTCCTTTATCAAGCTATTGACTTATTTTTCATGACTTTCTTGCATCATTCTCAGTTTTTCTTCTACTTCTCTTGCTTCTCAAACTCCTTTTTGAGCTCTTCCATTTTTTTTTAGGCTATGGATGTAGGAGCTTTAACTTTGTTGTCTTTTGGTTGTATGTTTTGATCTTCTTTATCACCAGAGTGAGATTTGATAGTCTGACTCATTTTGCAATGCTTACTCTTGATCCTAGCCACTTTCTTGATTTATATACACTTTGTTAAGGTAGGAGTCTGCTTCCAGTATGGAGAATATACTATCCCAAGCTTCAGGGATTTTGTGCAGGTGTTTTCAGAGATACTCCTAGAGACCTGAAAATTTTCAGTTCTTCCAAGGTGCTATGATCAAGGGCAAAACATTTACCTCTTTCCTGGCCTGTGCTGTGGTCTGTGAGTGACCACAAGCACTTTTTTCTGTCTTGGTACTATGAGGAGGATTTTCTTTCCACAGCCACTACAAGCTCCACCACACCAGCACTCTTCCTTGCCCCAGGACCACCATCCAGAACTGCGATCCAGATCAAAACATGAGCAAAGCAAGAGAATCCTGCACCAGCAGAGCGATCCCTGCAATCCCCCTCTGATCAGCCACTCCATTTCCCCTCAGTTTGTGGCCTGGAAGCTCAGGAAGCAGCTGCCACCCCAAGGCTGACCTCAGGGACTATGGCTGGGACCACGCCAAACTGTGTTCCTCTCCCCACTTGGCGTGATATACTTTTCTAAGCTTTTTCACATAATAATCCTACAATAACCTGGAAGTGTTGAAAGAAAGAGTCAATCAATGTTTTGAACTTCATTGTTGTCTTAGTTTAAGAAATCGCCACATCCATCCCAGCCTTCAGCAGCTCCCACCCTGAGCAGTCAGCAGTCATCAACATTGAGACAAGACCCTCTACTAGCAAAAAGATTGCCACTTGCTGAAAGCTCCAATGAAGGTTAGTATTTTTTTGGTAATAAATAATTTTTAAATTAAGGTATATGCTTTTTTATCTTAATAATATTGCACACTTTATAAACTATAATATAGTGTAAATATAACTTTTATATGTACCAGGAAACAAAAAACAAGTATGACTCATTTTGTTGCAATATTTACTTTATAGCAGGGCTCTGGAACTGATCCCATCTGAGGTATGCCTGGATTGGCTAAACATCATAAGTTATTTTATTTAATCTGTATGTGACATGATGTCCCATATTCTTACTATCTTTACTGCACTTGTCTGCAGACTCTCTGGTTCATCTGTGTGCTTCCTAAAATCTGACATCAAAAACTGAATGAATTTCTCCGCATATGGCCGAGGAAATATCTTAACTTGTATAAGAATTAGATTTAAATGAGGCAGAGTTGCTCAAAGTCTTCTGTCTCATTCTCTTTCCTAGAGTCATTGAAGTCCAGTGGCAGGACAAAATACAAGATGACTGATGAAAGCTTGAGATGCAGTGGATGACCTTGGCATCTGCCATGTCTAACCAAGCCCTTAAGTGCTCCATGGCATCAGTTGCTTTCATGGTCATTGGAACAATGGTCTTATCCTCCCATTTTTCTGGGGGAAGATTTCAACTATTTAGGGTAGACATCTGCTTAATTCACCAATAGATTTAAGGCCTGTCCATTACTCTCAACCTGCTTTAGCTTGTCTGACAATATGGTTGTGGCAGGGCGTGACTTCTTGGAGCCACAGGTGAGAGGGAGTTGAGTAAAGGTGGACACTGAAGGTGTTTTGAACAATGCACTTTGCTTAAGGTACCCTATGATTCTCTTCACTTTTCTGCCTGCCACGTCACATTATTCTTGACTCATGTTAACCTCTTAGTTCACTAAAATACATCAATCCTATTCATACGTATTGTTACTGAGCTATCCTTCTTGCCTTCATCTTTTCCTTTATTTGTGCCATAGGTGTTGCTCAGTCCAAAGGTAGGACCATTATGTGTGATCCTTTTCAGTTTTCCCCTTTTAGAAGAAGTGGTCCATCATTCCAGCCAATTAAAGTATTCAAAAAGATCTTACCAGGTATGTGGTAGAGTGGATAGAGTTTTAGCTTTGGAGTCAGGAAGATCTAGGTTCTAGTCTTGTCTCTGCTATACACAAGATTGTGATCATGAACAAATTGCTTACTCCCCACAGTGTCCCAGACAGTTCTTTAACATTTTAAGCAACAGGTGGGTTGGGTTGTCAATTCAAGTTTCAACAGAAGTAGTTGCCCAGACTAATTATGGGTTCAGAACTGAGAGAGGCAGAGAGAAAGAGAGAGAGAGAGAGAGAGAGAGAGAGAGAGAGAGAGAGAGAAGAGAGAGAGAGAGAGAGAGAGAGAGAGAGAGAATTCTTCCTAACCACGTGTCATCTGACAATATGCAAGCCTTCTCTAAACCACTGACAGACACTTCAAAGATACTGTGGCCAAGGACAGATTCCTTGGGCACACCATTCCAAACTACCATCTAGCACTCTAATTTACAAGCCTGGTATTAACTTTTATAACAATGAGCTAGAGATATCTGTCAGAAAGGCAATGCTATGAATCTGTGGACTTTGACTCCTTCCATTCCTTTTCTTTACATTTTATATGACATGTCTAAAGATGAAGTGTGGCATTTCAGGTGATTAGGTGATTTAGCTGAAATGGATCTCAGCTAAATGAAAATAACTCCCTGTGCAGAAGGCCTTTGGGTTACACTAAAATTGCTTGACTTACCATTCCTTCCCTTCCTCCTCTGAGCACTATCATCTCCCCAAGGCCATGTCTGGTTGGGGCCCATCCCAGAGGACTTCTATTTGCCCATTCTTCAGTAGCGTCCTCTGGTCCTTGTTTCAAATTTTCTAAGTAAATTCCCCCAGGACTTTAACCCCAGTTCTTGAATTCCTTTCACCATTTCATTCCTTCAAATGAGATAATATTTGTAAAGCACTTGCCCCAGTGCCTGGCACATAATAGGTGCTCAGTAAATGCATGTTCTCCCCTCCACTTTTCCATCTGTTCTCTCTACATTTTCTCCTGCCTCTATTGTGACCAGACTGAGTGAGGACTGCCATTCAGATGGGTCTCCTGATCACTCTCTGACATCCACTCTGTACCAATTCTGACTTTGCCTACTTTAAGATCTCTTTTTCTTCCACAAGTATCTTCTTTTTTTCCAATGTACTAACTGTATATCACAAGTTAGGGGGCACCTGCCCTGCTCCCCCCGCATTAAAGATTCTGTACCAATGAAAAATATCCACTGGAGAGATGTTGACATGTTCTGGGTGTGTACGATGCAGTTTGAACTGGATGCAGAGGCTGGGGGCTGCCACTCAGCAACAGAGGAGATTTTCAAAAATAATTTCCTGCCACATTCCTGACTGTATTTGCAGCCCAAGTTGATCCCCTTCCCTGCTGCTTTCTGATCTGCCCCTGGGTTACTAACAGTCCCAACAGACAGACCGGCTCATGCTACCTGCTGCTTAGGCACAGATTAACTCCCAGCCAGCCAGATGGACCCGACGGACTCCACAAATTCCTCTCCTTTTGCTTTTGGCTCTCCAGAAAGTTAATGGACAGTTTTATGGTGGGGGATAAACAACCTGGTGGTGTCCAGTCTGGGCCATAATCACCTGCGCCTCACACAACTGGGACCTCCATCTGCCTTTCCACAGCTATTTGTCTGAATGGATGGATTATGGCATTCTGTCTAACCTGGCTCTGCTAGCGGCAATGGCAGGCCTCAATTAGAAAGCCAAATTATTAAAAAATCCAATCACATTTGTATTATTTACTTTAATTATCAGATGCATTCATTGCTAGGTTGCTTTTGTGTGAGGTTCCAGTATTAGAGGTAATAGAAACAAAGATTCATTAAATTTGCACATGCATCTGAATATACAAATTTCATTCAAATATATCTAATTATGTACATACATATCCATATGTACACTTTTTTTTTAAATGACAAAATAAATGTCTGAAGAGATTTTGATCAGGATATTTATAGAAGAATTGTTATCCCCAAAGTTTAAGACAGTTCTAGTCACATAGCATTTAGCTAATTTTTTTTCATTCATTATTTCATTTGTTCACTCATTCCAAAATTGTCTAAGATGCTGATTTCTTTTGGAGTACAACTCCAACTCCCCTAAATATCATTTATCCTCTTTCTGGATGTAGGAGACATCTTACAAGTACATTTCTGTAGCAACCTATACCAGAATATTTTATACTACTTTGCTTAAATATATAAATTCTACATATTGAGCAAAATCATATCAGTAACAAAGTAGAGGTTGAGATGGAGGGAGGGAATAAACATTCATATTTTCTTGTTCAGTCATTTTCAGTCATATCCAACTGTTTGTGACACCATTTGAGGTTTGTGGTTCAAATCACATCAGTAACAAACTAACCAGTTATTTTAACCCCCTTCCATGCAAAATTACCTTTCAGCCATTGTACAGATGACAAAAGAAATGGCCAAGGTAAGAAAGTTAAAAACAGAAGGTAAGGCCTTAGGGGTGTCAATAAGATAACAGTCTTCTCCCCAACAACTCACTCTTATTGAGTTTACTAAACTGTGAATGAGGTCTTTGATGCCATTCCTTTGTAAGACTGGTATGTGGGTCGGGGGTTCTCATCCTCACTGTAAAGTAACTCTGACACTCACCTGGTCATGGATAGAACAAAGATCCTCACTTACTGCCTTATTGTATAATTAGAATAAACTTTGTAAGTGTCTCATCTCCTCTCCAGTTGCTACCTCCAACAACATTCAACAAGGATAGAGTCAGTGCCTTGCTCATCTTCTCACCCTTCTTGTCCTTCTCCACCCCCAAAGAGCTTAGCACTGAGCCTGTCCTCTAAGGTGTTAGATAATTATTGTTAAGTGGATAAATGAATTTCATCAGAGTAAAATGCAGATGATGACAATGGAATGGGGACATATCTTGACACAAGAAAAGTCTAGAAACCATAGATATAAAAAAAAATACACATGTGTATATGTGTATGTATACACACATATACAGACATATATGTATCTCTGTGTGGAGTTATATATATGTACATATGTGGATATAGGAATATATGCATATATATATATACATATACATATATATATATATACATATACATATATATATATATATATATATATCCACATATGCCTGTATGTGTGTATGCATGTATATATATATATATATATGTGTGTATACAGCTAGGTGGCACAGTAGACACAGCACCAAACTTTAGTTGGGACAACCTGAGTTCAAATTCAGCCTCAAGTGCTTAGTGTCTGTGTGACCTTGGACAAGTCATTTAACTTCTATTTGCATAAGTTTCCTCAACTTTAAAATGAGGGAGGGAGTGGCATTATAACAGCACCTGCAAGATAATCATGAGGAACAAATAAATTATATATATGTATAAACTGCTTAGCACAGTGTGTGACAGCACACAGTCAGTGCTACATAAATGTTTAGGGCAGCTAAATGGCACAGTGGATATTCAGGGGTTGGGAACCTGTGGCCTTGAGGCCACATATGGCCCTCTTGGTGCTCAAGTGCAGCCCTTTGACTGAATCCAAAGTTCACAGAAGGAATCCCCTTAATCAAAGGATTAGTTCTGTAAACTTGGACTCAGTCCAATGGCTGCACCCAAGGATCTAGAAAGCCACCTCGAGGCCTGAAATCCACAGGTTCCCCAACCCTGGACAGAGTGTTGGGCCTGGAATCAGGAAGACTCATCTTGAGTACCAATCTGTCAACAGACACTAGATTTGTAACCCTGGGCAAGTCACTTAAGTCTGTTCGCCTCAGTTTCCTCATCTGTAAAATGACATAGAATAGGAAATGGCAAACCACTTCAACATCATTGCCAAAAACAAATCTCAAATGCTGTCACAAAGAGTCAGATGTGACTGAAAATGACTGAACAAGAAAATATAAATGCTTATTCCCTCC